TCAGAGCTGGATGGTTAGAGGGCATCCGCGTGAGGTGTCCGAACCACTTGACCTTTTGTTTTTCAATGTGTGGTATGACTAGTGTTGCTCCCACGGTGTCCCTTATGACTTCATTTTTAATTTTGTCTCTTCTTGTTTTGTTGACAGCTCTTCTTAAGCATTTCATCTCGCATGTGACCAGTTTCCTCTCTAGGGCTTTTGTTAGAGTCCATGTCTGGCACTGATATGTGAGCGTTGGAAGGAAAATGGCGTTGATGAGCTTCGCCTTGGTGCTCATGGGGATATTGGGATGTTTCAGGAGAGGGCCCAGTTGGTAGCTGACTGCGTTGGCTCTTTGGCATCTAGTCTCTATCTCTCGATCCATTTTCTGTGAAAATGCTGCCCAAGTATTTGAATTCTCTGCTTTGTTTTAGTTGGGATCCATTGATGTTGATATCCACTTTACCTGGTCTCCTGCTAATTGTCATGACTTTGGTCTTGCTTATACTGATCTTCATGTCATATTTTTCGCAGTTCGCATTTAGTTGGTATATATGCTCCTGTAGCTGAGTCTTGTTGTTAATCATTGCCAGGTCGTCTGCAAACATGAGTTCGTTGAGTGCCTCTGGGTCTGGATTGGCCTCTTTTGTTATCTGGTCCATGTAGATCACAAAGAGCAGAGGGGAGAGATTGCAGCCCTGTCTCACTCCGGATGTTACTGGAAACCAGTCCGATGTTCAACTGGTAGTTCGGACAGCGCTTCTGCTGTTGGCATAGATAGCCCTGATGTTGTCTAGCAGTTGTCCCTTGATGTCGTACTGCTCTAAGATCTTCCATAGCTTGTGGTGTGCATGCACCGCTTGCGGGCTTCTGTCTTAGATTCAGTTTCTTGTTCGTGAAGACTCAAATGATTTGCTGCCCACTGTATATTATACGAATGTATATATTTATATTATATATATATATATATATATAAATATATAAGGGGGCTCTCGTGGCCTTTATAGAGGTTAAAGTGTTCGCCTCTCATTCAAAGGTTCCGGTTTCGAGTCTGGGTAGCGATGAAAAAATTTCTTCTCTAAAATGGTCTTCTTTCACCTCTTTTCCTGCGCTCTAGCAATGTTCTGTCGTCTGCTTTCGTCTCCACTTTCTGTCCCCACACCCTCACCTCCTTTGCCCCGTCTCTGGGCTCCTTACTCTTTCAGCAGCCTTTCTTCTGCTACTCCATGGCCCCTTCTTACTGTTGTCTCTCAGCCATACCCCTGATCTTCTGATAGGAAAGATCTACACCTAGCCTTCTCGGACAAGGGCAAACAAGTTTGGGGGTATGGTGTGCAAGCGGCGTACGTTAAAGATCCCTTGGTGGTCTAAAATCTACTACTACTACTACTACTACTACTACTACTACTACTACTACTACTACTACTACTACTACTAACAGTAATGATAATAGTGATGATGATGATGATGATGATGATGATGATGATGATGATGATGATGATGATGATGATGATGATGATGATGATGATGATGATAATAACAAATGTACCAGAGAAGAAAGTGCAGCCTACATTGTACAGGACGCGTGGAACATGTCTATAAGATGGCCGCCCAATTCCAACTGACAACAAGAAAGCGGTATTTGCAACTCAATCTTGTTTTCCTTTTTATTAAAAAGGCATGTAACTCTAGTTAGCACGTTGCGTTAAGAAAGACTTCCGAGACAGTAATTGGAAGAACAAAAGGCTAAGATTAATAATAATAATAATAAATTGCATTTATACAGCTCATTTCCACAAGGAAGTGCTCAATGCGCTGTACAATAATACAAAGAACATATGAAGCGCACAGCTCCTACAGTAATCCTCTTTCTCTGTCTCTCTCACTAGTCTCTGTCTGTCTGTCTGTCTGTCTGTCTGTCTGTCTGTCTGTCTGTCTGTCTGTCTCTCTCTCTCTGCTCTCTCTCTCTCTCTCTCTCTCTCTCTCTCTCTCTCTCTATCTCTCTCTCTCCAGCACATCCTTGATTACTTGTGGTTTCTGCTGTAACCGACGAGACCAATTCTGGCAGAGAAAAGTTTGCCACAATTTGAACATTTATTTACTTTTACTTGTTTCTTCCGCTTGTACCCTGGGGTGTCGCGGGGAGACACAGGTGTCTGTCTGCAGCAAGTCGTGTGGCCTGTAGGAGGGACATCCCATGATCTCTAAGGGTGTCTGCCACAGATTCACTCCATCGTCGCCTTGGTCTTCCTCTGGCTCTCCATCCAGAATATTTAGTGTTGTATGCTCTCAGAGCTGGATGGTTAGAGGGCATCCGCGTGAGGTGTCCGAACCACTTGACCTTTTGTTTTTCAATGTGTGGTATGACTAGTGTTGCTCCCACGGTGTCCCTTATGACTTCATTTTTAATTTTGTCTCTTCTTGTTTTGTTGACAGCTCTTCTTAAGCATTTCATCTCGCATGTGACCAGTTTCCTCTCTAGGGCTTTTGTTAGAGTCCATGTCTGGCACTGATATGTGAGCGTTGGAAGGAAAATGGCGTTGATGAGCTTCGCCTTGGTGCTCATGGGGATATTGGGATGTTTCAGGAGAGGGCCCAGTTGGTAGCTGACTGCGTTGGCTCTTTGGCATCTAGTCTCTATCTCTCGATCCATTTTCTGTGAAAATGCTGCCCAAGTATTTGAATTCTCTGCTTTGTTTTAGTTGGGATCCATTGATGTTGATATCCACTTTACCTGGTCTCCTGCTAATTGTCATGACTTTGGTCTTGCTTATACTGATCTTCATGTCATATTTTTCGCAGTTCGCATTTAGTTGGTATATATGCTCCTGTAGCTGAGTCTTGTTGTTAATCATTGCCAGGTCGTCTGCAAACATGAGTTCGTTGAGTGCCTCTGGGTCTGGATTGGCCTCTTTTGTTATCTGGTCCATGTAGATCACAAAGAGCAGAGGGGAGAGATTGCAGCCCTGTCTCACTCCGGATGTTACTGGAAACCAGTCCGATGTTCAACTGGTAGTTCGGACAGCGCTTCTGCTGTTGGCATAGATAGCCCTGATGTTGTCTAGCAGTTGTCCCTTGATGTCGTACTGCTCTAAGATCTTCCATAGCTTGTGGTGTGCATGCACCGCTTGCGGGCTTCTGTCTTAGATTCAGTTTCTTGTTCGTGAAGACTCAAATGATTTGCTGCCCACTGTATATTATACGAATGTATATATTTATATTATATATATATATATATATATAAATATATAAGGGGGCTCTCGTGGCCTTTATAGAGGTTAAAGTGTTCGCCTCTCATTCAAAGGTTCCGGTTTCGAGTCTGGGTAGCGATGAAAAAATTTCTTCTCTAAAATGGTCTTCTTTCACCTCTTTTCCTGCGCTCTAGCAATGTTCTGTCGTCTGCTTTCGTCTCCACTTTCTGTCCCCACACCCTCACCTCCTTTGCCCCGTCTCTGGGCTCCTTACTCTTTCAGCAGCCTTTCTTCTGCTACTCCATGGCCCCTTCTTACTGTTGTCTCTCAGCCATACCCCTGATCTTCTGATAGGAAAGATCTACACCTAGCCTTCTCGGACAAGGGCAAACAAGTTTGGGGGTATGGTGTGCAAGCGGCGTACGTTAAAGATCCCTTGGTGGTCTAAAATCGATGACAGTAGGCTTCGACCGCCACCCGAGCAAAAACAAAATCTCCTACCTACTGAAAATGTTTAATATGTCCGGCCCGCTCATAATATATGACCTTATGCACTTGCGAGCGCCGTTAAAGACTTATAAAAAAAATGTTAATTATATATATATATATATATATATATTATAATGTAACGCGTAGTGTAAGCAAGCGGATGATAGATGGTAAACATTAGGAAAAAAGCAAAAAAGCAACAGCCAGACAGCAATGCTGCAGCGTCTATTTAGATGACATACTGACTTCTAAGAGTTAATCACCGACAATGGAGATCAAGGAAAATGTGAAGAGGAAGATCAGACAGAGGATGGCAGGCCAACATTGAAATAAAAGAGCAGATGGGTACAACTTGGACACAGGGGACAAAACAGACTGGAGGTCGTTGATGGAGGGCGACATCCCGCAGAGGACGAACAACGAAAAGAAAAAAAGAAAGAAAGAAAGAAAGAAGAAAGAAAGAAGGAAGGAAAGCAAAAAAGCAAGCAAGAAAGCAAGCAAGAAAGAAGGGAAGAAAGAAGGAAAGAAAGAAAGAAAGAAAGAAAGAAAGAAAGAAAGAAAGAAAGAAAGAAAGAAAGAAAGAAAGAAAGAAAGAAAGAAAGAAAGAAAGAAATAAGGGATATCAAACACTCAGAGAGGTTCTCACCTTAAGTCCCTTCTTCACTGCATCCAACTTGCTTTCGAAAGAGTCTTCCGCAGCCCCCACTGTTGACTTCACGTTTTTCAGAATGTCTTGTTTTATGTCCTTCTTCCAAACCTGAGAAGTGAAGTCACTAGTAATGGTTATCAGAACTGGTACACTGGTAGAGGTTTCGGTTTCGTTTTTAGTTTTAGTAAGCGTTTTACGGTGCCTGTAACACATTCAGGTCACATAAGTGCCGAAGATTAGAGGTGCTTCTAAAGAGTGTATGTATGGCTCTTTTCGTCTATGCAGATGGTAAATTTAGCTTAAGATGGTCTCAAAGTTGTCTTCATGCAGCTTCTTTCATGGCTAATTCTTCCTATGTTTGAAGCGCAGATTCTGTCGCAGTGCCTGCATGTCAGTGACGTAGATCGAAGCTCTGTATTTCCGCTGTTTTCCTTTCGTCGTTGGCACTTCTAAGCCTGGTTGTTTCTAAGGCTGCTCTCCAGCATTTTAGTTCTAAAGAGTAACATACACAAACAAGAAGGAGGGGAAGCAAGGACGATAGATGTTTGATAGGAGATAAGGAGCAACAGACACCACAGCACCCGCCAACCACCCTCTGAGTTTCTGTTTGGATGAAATCTTCTGTGGAAGTAAGGATACTGAAGTCACGATGGTGGCATTCCTGGTTGAATAAGATGGCACAGAAATCTGCAAGTAACTGTCAGATACTGACCACAGTTAATACATAATAATAATAATAATAATAATAATAATAATAATAATAATAATAATAATAATAATAATAATAATAATAATAATAATAATAATAATAATAATTTTAAAAAAATAAATATTAATAATAAAATAATAATAACAATAAATAACATTTATATAGTCTTCAACCCCGATTAAAGTACACAGACTCTGAGCGCTTTACAATACAGTACAACGTACAACAGTAACATAAAACGTGTTCTGACTAAAGAAAATTATTCCAAATATTCATCTTATTAATTTAAAAACAGAAACGACTTCAGCTGACATTTGAATGAATCAAAAGATTTGATCTCTCTCTTAAAGTACTTTGTGAAGCATTCCAGAGACATAATCTATATGAACAAATTAAGGTGGCTCAGAACCATTGAAAGGTATACAGTCATATCAAGGAGTCTGAAGTCATTGTAATTTAATTTTCAGTTTTTCTTTAGCTCGTTTAGATCTAATTTTAGGAAAGCCCGTCTTCTAAGACGTCACGGTGAACACGTGAGGTTTCTGTTCACAAGCAGTGAGCACTGTTTCCACAATGCTTTAACAATCGATTTTTTTTAGTCGGTTCATCGAACGGATACCCAGATAGTAATATAATATTTTCTAAAATTGACTTTGGTTTTGCAAAGGACTGTTTCGTTCTTTTAAGATACTTCTTCTCATCGTGGCAGTTTTAAATGCCACCTAAGGGGTATAGTAAGCAGAAAATGTGTTGGTTTAGCAGACCTTTTCAACACTTAGAAGGTTATCTTTGAGGTAAGACGTGCGAATTCAAATTACGTCACACAAGAAAGGAGAGGGTGAAAACAAAGAGAAGATGGAGATATTTAGGACATGTTTTCGAAATACTGTAAGATTGCCCTATTAGATTGCCCTATTAGACATGGTGTTGGATACCAAGTGGAAAAAGAAGAAGAGGTAGAACAACTGACAGTTGTCAGAATGACAATCAGGGATGAGGCAATCACTCAGGGCCTGGGTGTGCCCAGATTGGAGGAGGTGGGCCAGGGCCAGACAAACGAGGTATCGACTGCTCTCTGACTTATGTACGTCTGACGGTAGAGGGGAAATAATGATAATGATAATGATGATAATGATAATGATAATGATGATAATGATAATGATAATGATAATAATAATAACAGTAATAATGATGATGATAATAATATTTCTACAGCATCCACTCCCAAAGTGGGCCCTTCTCCATGCACCAGACGTGAAAAACTTCAATGACAAAATGTGAGGCTTCATGGTGAAATCAGGCTCTCGTCCAAATAATGAAATTGAAGAAAAAAGCATTTTTCCGCTAGTTTGGCAATTTTTATCAATATTTTTGTTTTCCCGCCTAACACCTTTTACGTCCATAATACAACACATTTCCAAGCGAATTTTACTGAAAAACGTTCATCAAAGAAACAAAATATGTGATTTTTCAGTTTTCGAGGATTCTCAAGCTATTGAAGTTACCAAATTTCGGCAGCCATTTTCTCGCTAATTTTTACACTGGAACCAGGCGACCTCACCTCCTTCAATCGCAAATATCTTGACTGCTATTCAAGATACATGGGTGTTTTTTTCTCTGAAAACAATGCAAATGAATAAGCTATTAAATGAGATCAACAACTCCACAAGTCCAAAAATCGACAAACACCTGATTCCACCACGCTATGACAGAAATCGATTATCGATTATTCAAGCAATATTCAAGCCCACAAAATTATTCACATCTATCGGTACACACGCATTAGCACATAGCTACCTCACAATTGTCAATTTCCTTCTGCCCAGTACCTAGGTTTGAAAAATTGGACGTTAAAATTTGGCGTTTCACAAAATGTTTTAGCGTTTTCTCATGCAGCTCTTTGAATATCTTGGTAACCACTGAAAAAAATCTGACGATTTTGATAGAAGAAATAGACCGTTTTGATTTCTGACTTCACTGTCTGAGCATCTCAAAACGTTCCCAAAATGTCAGATTTATGTAATGTTAAGGTAGCGACATGCAGAGAGACGTATTGTATTATGAACACAAACTCGCACACACACACACACACACACACACACACACACACACACACACACACACACGCACACACCACACACACACACACACACATAGAGAGAGAGAGAGAGAGAGAGCGAGAGAGAGAGAGAGAGAGAGAGAGAGAGAGAGAGAGAGAGAGATGCACATAGAGACATAAAGACACATGTGCGCACACTATCACTTAACCATCCTTACACATCAAAATACCCTGGTAGATGTCTACTCGCCAAAACATAGGAACAGGTACGGTCGAAATTGCCAAAGACCACCATCCATTTTTTACCCGAAAAGTGGCCGCCTTAGACAGGTGATCGTCTTACACAGTGTCATTATCATCATCATCCAGTGCCAGATCTGCGACAGACATCGGCGATCATGGTTTTCCATTCATTCCTTTGCTAGGATGCTCTAACAAAAAAGCTACGTTTCCCTGATCTTTCCCTGTCACCCATTTGGTTCCCTAAGTATGTTGTTCTGGGCCTACCCCTGCCTCGCTTGCCCTCCATTTTTCCAGTGAGAGCTAGATGTTCAAGACCCTTATGTCAATTCAGGTGTCCCAAAAACTACATTAATTTTGTCGTTTCTTGTTGTTTGTTTTAGCGTCCCACGTGGGCTTCATCAAGCACTACCTCATTTGATTTCTTTTCCTTCCACGATACTCTTAGCAGTCTCCTGAGAAACCACACAGCGTCATTATAACACAAGAAAAAAACCCTCACAAGTTGGAAGCGGGAAGTGGCCATGTGTGTGTATCAGATCATTGTCGAGTAGCGTTGGTAGCCTAGTGGTTGTGCTACCAGACACGTAATCGTGAGATTTCGGGTTCGGGGGTTCGAGCCTCAGCTCGGTCCAACGTTGTGTCCTTGGGAAAGGCATTTCACACGAATTTCCCTTTTGGCTTGGTCCTTTCGGAGATGGACGTTAAACTCAAAGGTCCCGCTTCTTAAATAATCTAATAGTGTTGATAGGAGCGTTAAACCTATATATTCCATTTTACTTTCAGATCATTGTCTGACACAGGTGTCCGTTTCATTCAGACAGGCTCGACTGTAGCTCGGTATATATTCTCACCTCTAGCTCGCTCTTCAATCTGCTCTCGAAACTCGTTTCCAGAGCCTCCACAATCGTTGTTACATTTCTCAAAATGTCTTGCTTCTGAGTGGACAGTTGTTGAACCCACTCTCGTTTTTTCTTCTCTGCCGCTGCAGTCACATTCTGCAGAATGTCCGTTCTCTGCAAGCGTAGTTCACTAAGTCGTTCTCTCTTGCTCTCTGCGACCGTGTCGTTCAGGACCTGTAAAAGAAAAAAACCCCAACAACATGAAATTGAGGAAATGGTTTGAGAGAGACTCTCACCTGTTGTAGCGTGTTGAACTTTCTCTGGACACCTGCTTCAAGCACGGACAGGTGACCGTCTTACAAAGTGTCGTTATAATACAAGAAAAACCCCCCTCACAAGTAGGAAGCGGGAAGTGGCCATGTGTCTGTATCATTGTCGAGTAGCGTTGGTAGCCTAGTGGTTTGGCTACCAGACACGTAATCGTGAGATTTCGGGTTCGGGGGTTCGAGCTTCAGCTCGGACCAACGTTGTGTCCTATGAAAAGGCACTTCACACAAATTTCCCATTTGGCTTGGTCCTTTCGGAGATGGACGTTAAACTCGAAAGTCCCGCCTCTTAAGTAACCTAATAGTGTTGGTAGGGGCGTTAAACCTATACATACCATTTTATTTTCAGATCATCGTCTGACACAGGTGGCCGATTCATTCAGACAGGCTCGACTGTAGCTCGGTATATATTCTCACCTCTAGCTCGCTCTTCAATCTGCTCTCGAAACTCGTTTCAAACTCACAGCTCAGTTAGTCACTGGAGCAACACCATGGAATCAGAGGCTCCTTAAATATTGGGCATAATAGAGTGTTACGTTTATCATCTTAATAGAGCTTGGTGATTTGGGTCCCGGTGTTGTTGAAGGCGCTCGTTATTTTTTGGGCATAAGAAGTTATTGGTATAATCTTGTTTATTTGTCTTGCTTTTAATTTTAGAAATACACCTTTACATTGAATAGAAGTCGAAATGTTTACGTTTGAAGGAGGTGGGGGTCGCCGAGTATTAGAGGTAGAAAAAGCGAGAAAATGGCCGCCAAAGTTTTGCGACCTCAAAATTTTGAGTGTATATAAATAAAAAGTGTAAATTTTCATCTGTGTGTATTTCATTTTCATCAACTTTTTTCAGTAAAATCCACACAGAAATATGTTTTTACATGGTTGGAATTATTAAAAATCGATAAACAAAATGCCAAATAGGCAGAACATTGTTGAGTTCTTCGTTATTTTGACGAGCGCCTGGTATCTGTACGATGCAACGCATTTATCTTATTCGTGTAATGCCGGTTTTACAGTTGTGTTCCAATGGATAGGTCAGACCTCCGTATTTGATAAGATACGATAAGATACATCTTTATTGTCCAGATCCTGGCACATTGGTTTGGGTTTCACCTCGTGTGCACACACACACACACACACACACACACACACACACACACACACACACACACACACACACACACATACACGCTCACACGCGCACACACATGAACACACACGTAGGCTTACAATCACATGCATAATAGAAATGAGCAGCAATATAAACAACAGTAATCGTAAGCTAGATACACACTCAATGTTATTTTGATGCATGCTCTAAGGTCGTAGGTATACTTATACAAAAAGGTTAAGATGGAAGCATTTTAATAGATGATGGTAAAAATGACCTTCTATACCTTTCTTTGTTACAGATCAGAAGCCTAGGTCTTTTACTTCTGACTAATGTATTTATTTGTTTTATGTTCCAGATTCTAGATCAACCTCCTTGCAAACGAACTTGTGTTCAAGGGTTCAAGAAGGTCGAGTACTGTTACTACCAGCCAAGCATGACAAAAATGAAATAGTATAGGTTTAACGCCCCTATCAACACTATTAGGTTATTTAAGAGGCCGGACCACCAAGTTTAACGTCCATCTCCGAAAGGACCGAGCCAAGTGGGAAATTCGTGTTAAGTGCCTTTCCCAAGGACACAACGTTGGACCGAGCTGAGGCTCGAACCCCGAACCCGAAATCTCACGATCACGAGTCTGGTAACCTAACGACTAGACTACCGACGCCCAGCCAGGCATGATTCCGACTAAGCTAAAAGTGTAGGCCTACCCGCTTTGTCTAGAGAAAAATAATGTTGAAGCACTTAAAACAAACTTTCCCTCCTCTTCCTTTTAGTCCTCCGCCTCCTTCTCGTCGTCGTCGTCCTCCTTTTTCTTCATTCTTCTTTCTTCTTCTTCTTCTTCTTCTTCTTCTTCTTCTTCTTCTTCTTCTTCTTCTTCTCCTCCTCCTTCTCCTCATCCTCCTCCTCCTTCTCCTCCTTCTCCTCCTCCTCATCCTCTTCCCCCAGAAGAAGTTCAAGGCTGAGTATAGCGTCTAACAAGACGCCAGATTACTTGGTTTGCTTTGATTCTCTTTTTGTCTCCACCTCAAATAGCCATTTTCCAATCATTTGTTTTCAAACTAACACTTGCCTCTGTGGGCATCTTTGAATAAACTTGAATTCAGCTGCACCAGGGTAAATGTTTACTTGTCATAACAGGAGGAACAAATGCATTTATTGTCGACGAACCGTTCAAATCTCCTAGATCCAAAAAAGCAAACTTCTTCAGAGGAGAAAAAACCCTTTTAATTGATTTGGCAATTGTAATAAAAATAAATAACATTTGTGAGACATCGTGGTGAAATCAGGCACTCGCCAAAATAATGAAATCGAAGACATAAGCATTTTTCCACCCGATTTGCAGTTTTTCTAGGATTTTGGGTTTGTTTGGCCTCAACACCTTTTATGCCCATTTAACGCATTTATGTATGGATCTTACTGTAAAATGTTGATTAAAGGCACAAGAGATAAACATTTGCAGTTTCAAAGGACTCTCAGGCTCTGAAACTCACTTAACTTTGGGGCTATTTCCTCACTAATTTGACCCCAGAAACCAGGCGACCCCACCTCCCTCAATCCCAAATATCTCGATTTCTATTTAAGAATAGATAGATACTTATCCCGTGGAAAGATAGACAAACGAACAAGCTTTAGGATAAGACCAATAACTCCATATAGCCAAAAATTGACGAGCGCCTGATTCCATATCGTTGTGACACATTTGTATAGCGCAGATTCCCGCTCAACAGCACGCTCTAGGCGCTTTACTATCTATGTTATTATTACCCATGCAGACCTGATAGTATTCTAAAACGATCTCAACTTCTTGGAAAGCATACGGTGCAAGTTGTCATTTTACAGGTGCTAAAACACTTACTCACTGTCAAGATCAGTCGCTGTGTATGGCCGGGTACCCATTCCCACATGGGTGAAGTGACGGTTATTCGTATAAAGTTCCCTTCCCGTTGACACAACCTCGGGCGTGAGGCTCAAATCCCCCAAACCTGCATTCTCGGGAGTACAAGTACGGTAGGTAGTAGGTAGCCTAACCATTAGACATTAGACTACCGACGGCACATATTGCTCATACTGTGTATCTATTCTTGCTTTTCTTAAAGAGAGGGGAGGGGGGGGGGGGGGGCTACACCTGAAGACTATCTCGCTTATTACAAGACCGAATGTTACCAAATTTCACACTTATAACAAGCATAGTAAGGAGTCTTAAAAACCGCAATCAAAATTGAGAGAAAACTTTCGTTTCCAAAAATACGGCGGCCATATTGGATTTTGTTGACATGTCTCACTTAATAAATACCGCACTTACTGCTCATGGAAATTGATTTCTTTTTTGCATGCCTGGTTAACAAACATTAGATCTAAAAATTTGTCTGGTGTTTTTTTCCTAAACGAATTTTAGAAATTTGTATGAATGTTTTTCAATTCTGAGGTACTGTTCAAGTTTGTACAAAGTCCGTGAAAATTCACAGTCAAGACACCACCAACAAACAACTATTCCAAATATCAAATATTCAACAGACAAATGTTTAGTATTTCATTTGTTCTTCATTCTGGGAAAATTTCATGAAGATTGGGAGAAAAATGATGGAGCTATTCAAAAACATACAGAGAAAAGTCGCGTTTTGAGAAAACGGCCGGTAAAGAAAAAATAAATATTGACTTAAAGAGGAAATGGTGATGATAAACATGCCCGGTATGGGGAAAAGACGGTTTTTTGGGGTTCTTCCGATGAAATAGTTGTAGGAGAGGTTGAGGAAGCTAAAAATGCCTGCAACTCAAATTCCATAAAGTTGAGCCGAATCGGGGCTTTGGGGGTGTAGCCCCCCCCCCTTTTAAAAAAAAAAGATTTACAGTTTGAAATGTGACAGAATGTGCCTCAAACTCAAGCAGCCAATACCAGGGATTAAAAAACTGCATTTTTGAAAAAATAGAATGCTCTTCAAGAACACGACATACACATACAGTTTATAGATCCTTTAGTACGCCTAATTGTATATTAAGCGAATTTTGGTTCATAGATTTGAAGAAGAAGAAGAAGAAGAAGAAGAAGAAGAAGAAGAAGAAGAAGAAGAAGAAGAAACAGAGGAGGAGGAGGAGGATGAGGAGGAGGAGGAGGAGGAGGAGGAGGAGGAGGAGGAGGAGGAGGAGGAGGAGGAGGAGGAGGAGGAGGAGGAGGAGAAGGAGGAGGATTTCAAGAAAATATGGGCTTTGTACAAGTGAACAGCTGTAGGAAATAGTTGGAGTGGAGAGAGACTCTCACCTGTCGTTGCGCTTTGAACGTTCTCTGGACACCCGCTTCAAGAGCGCCAATTGTCGCTGTCACATTCTCTAGTACGTCACGTTTCTGAGCGAGCAGTTGCTGAACACATTCCTTCCTGTTCTCCTCCACTATCTGGCTCAGCATCTGGACAGTGATCTCTTCTTTACGGCTGATGAAAACCGGCTGACTCTTCAGCCATATGACGTTCTCCTGGACAGATAAGGCGATGACGTCACAGCGGTATCTGCCTACCGTGTCGACGGTCGCCACGGGCCAGGTCAGCCGCAGGAAGCTTTGATCCCCAGAACCCAAACTGGCCTCAACGACGATGTCCTTGGAGTTTTGCTTGACGACTGTTTCGTCACCACGCTGTTCCGCAACACTGTTCCATCGCTTGTTTTCCCACTTCAAAATTCTCACCATGGCGATTTCAGCAACGTCGGGTAGGAGGTGAGGGTTGGAGCATCCTAACGACACATTTTTTGTTTTTCCTATTTCTACCTCCGTTGTCGTTACGTTTAAGACATAGGCGTTTGATGACAGCATCAGTGCTGCTGCCAGTAAAATGTTCGCAGACACACAGTTGAGCTCCATGTTATGTCACTGTACGGCGTGGGATTTTGGTCACAAAATTCTTATGTAGCCTTGCCAGGACGTCTGCAGGAAATATGGATAAAGGAAGGATCAAGTCAAGAAAATAATATTTGAATTGTGCAAACGTTTGACTGGGTATGAAACATGTTCGTAATTAGCTGAACATGTATTTGGAACATTTTTATCAAGAAAATATTAGAATTATTTAAACATTTGATTCGGTGTGAAAAAATGTTCATAACTGGCAGAACATATAATATATTTCGAAATACTTTATTAGAATGTGTGGAAGAGCGCTGTTTCAACCGTCTAGGAAGACGTGGAGGACGTTTCTGCGACATGCTGATAGTAGTTTGTCGCCATCTCGCTACCTAAGTTCTATCTGATATTTAGGGCCGTTTTGAGTGACTACTACCATGAGGTCAGAAACCAAATGTGAGGCAGCGTGGTGGAATCAGGCTCTCGTCAATTTTTGGGTATGTAGTGTTATTGGTATCATCTTAAAGCTTGTTCATTTGTCTTTATTTGAACGAAAAAATATCCTTTTATCTTGAATACAAGTCGAGATATTTGCGAAAGAAGGAGGTGGGGGTCACCTGTTTTCAGAGGTAACATTAGTAAGAAAATGGCCGCAAAAAAATTGTTATTTCCTTAGCCTAAGAGCCCATGGTAACTGAAAATTTACATTTTTTTGGTACCTTAAATCAACGTTTTTCAGAAAAATCCACACTGAAATGAGTTCTTCAATGGGCATGAAAGGTGTTGAGTCAAAAAACAAAAATTTTATAAAAATTCACAAACCTGAGGAAAAATGCAAGTTTCTTCATTTTGATTATTTTGACGACAGCCTGATTCCACCACGCTGCCTCATAAATGTTCTATCCGCTCTATCAAAATCGTAAGATTATTCGGAGTCGACATCAAGAAATTCAAAGAACTACTATCGAAAAAGCGTGACATAAGGTGAAAATCAAAATGCCTGACGTCAAATTTCTCCAAACTAGATACTGAGCAGATAAAATGTTGCAATTCTGAGGTATTGATCTGTTTATGGCAATCTTCCATGTTTTCCATTCTGAATATGCATTTTTTTCTTCAATTTTTGGAATCTACAACGATTTCAAATAAGGGAAGAGGAGTTCATTGCAACAGCCAACTTAAAAAAAAATATTAAAGAAATACAAAGACATTCAATTTGCTTCGAAAGTCAATTGCCATTGGGTATATACGGTATGATTGTTCATAATAGTGAATATTGAATAATAGTAAAAACATGTGGTTAGCAAAAAACGACAGGGCTGGAGAGGAACTCTCTTCTCACTTGGGGCTTTAGAACACCCTCCGAAAACAAATTGATAAAACATACAGTTTATTGACCCTTTAATGCGCTGATTTGTATATTGCATTCAGTCTTGATTTGTAGATTTGACCGCCCCCCTCCACCAACATGTCCCAGAGTAATACACTTACCCTTGCAGAACCTGTCTTTTCTAGAACGTGTGCGGTACTAGTTATCTGCTCAACACCGCTCACGTACAATGTGTTGAACCAGGGATTTCAACGTTTTATAAAGGTTGGAGAAGGGTCGAACC